TAATTATAGGGCAACATCCTTATCAGTTCTCTGCCTTAAATGACCAACATGTGCAATCTGCCTCTAAACACAAAATTCCAGAGTTAAGAACAAAAAAATTCCTGGAGAAAGGAAAGTGTCCCAGAGATGACACTGGTATAATGTCTCAAAAATATTCCTACCTCATTTTTCACGTATTTGTTCATTTAAAAATAGCTGTAGAAATGAAACCCTTCCAGAGTCTGAACTAGGGCTGGTTATGGCTCAAATTATGTCTGGTATGACTGGCAGATAAAACCAAATAAAAGCATTTTAAAATTTCCAGTAGAAAGGCCTCCTAAGCATTGGCCTATGCCTACTGGCACTTCCTGGTTGGCTTTATTAAGAAGAAAGCCAGTTAAAGGTCCCTCTAAAATCCTGGAAAATAAATGGAGACAAATGAAACAAAGGCTAAAACAGGAGGGCCCCAACTCAAATCTGGGGAACTAATGTGTCTTACGGGATTAATATTGTCTTTATTTCTATCACGTTTCAAAAGGAAAATGAAGAACACTGCTACTGCCTTACCTCCCATAACCAGCAAAGAAAGGCAAATAATTTTAAGCCTGGGTTTAGTACATGGACTGTCCTGAAATCTGGTGACTAATTGAGGGTCTGATCAAAATCTATGATTTGCATGTGCCTTCCAATTCATTACCCTATCAATAATTGAAGATCAAGTAGTTTTTAATTGAAAGGGTTCTGCATGTTCTTCACTGGAGAAATTGTAGAAAATCCACAGCAGATAAACCTTTCAAATAAATCTGAGTGTCTTTGTGTAGCAAAATAATGAATGTTTCTCCTGCTGATATCAATAATGGAAATCTGTGCTCAACAGCTCGCTGGTTGAGTGACGTTTAATTAAATCAGAGGTAGCGGATTAAATGGCAGCTTCTCTGTAGCAAGTTTATTTGTGAAAATTACATGGGTATGTGACATAAAAATAACTATACCTTTATGAATAAGAAGCTAAATAGCCCAGTCACACTCACATATTGTCAGTACGGGTTTGCATCAAGTTGTGTTTAAGCACAGAAATGCCCAATGATTTGTGAGCATTGCAGCTATTTTCTCTTGGGTCTAATCAAGATTTTCAAGCGAACGTCACCGCTAAAACCAAAAACTAAACCGGAGACCAATATTAACATAAAACTTTCTGGTTATGTGCTTTCAAATAAGTTCTAGAATCTGCTAAAATGTCACAGACTGCGAAGCCAGTGGGCTACCACCCCTCAGCACAGAAAGTCAGGCATCTGCAGCATGAGGAAGAGTCACCTTATACAGCGAATTAAGTTTCAATGTCAGTGAGAGACTCAAGAACACGTTGTTAATGTGGGCTTACACGGGTGCGGGTGGGATCCCAAACTGGCTTGCTATTATTCCTGTTATGCTTTCTTTTCAGTTCTGGTAGGATACAGCTACAAGGACCTAGAGATTATTATTATTATTTGTGTTGGCTTGATTCTGCTTGCACGTTGGCAGTCCAGCCGGGATTGCAGTTTCTTGTACGAGGCGGCTGTACCATCACTTCTGCTGGGGGTACATGGACTTTCCTGGGTGCTTTGGGGAGTTCACTGTATAGCCTGCGTGGGAGGCAAACTCCTGGGCTACCCAACGGCATGGTGTATTTCAAAATGTCCTCGTTTCTGCCCTTTTCCACACAAAACATATTGCAGCCTTTAGTTATTACCCACAACTGCATTTTTTTTTTCTGCTCTAACACACTAAATTGATGAGTTTAGTCTTTTTCCCGCTGCAGATGTTTCCATCAAATCCTAAGAGAAATAAGCAACTGGTTAACACATTTCTAAATATTTATAAAACTGTAAGAACCGATTAACATTTAATGTTGCCAAGAGGTTTTGTCTACTGACATCTGCAATCACACAGTTTCAAAAGATAGCATAATTCCAGGGCAGAGATGCATAAATAGTATGTTATTTGCCTGTTCTGCACCAATTACTTCTTCAGACTGTGCATAACCAGTGAAGGCATTAATTACTTTCACACACAGAGGTTCATTAATCAATACAAAAGACTCCACGAAGGGAAAAACAATAATTAAAGGAAGTTACTGTGAAGATTTATGCGTCTTCTTTAAAGTGGGCTATAAAGCCCCCTGTGGCTTCAGGAGCTGGAGGGCTCTAAAGCAGGATCTTTTTACCATACTGCTCTGTGGAAATGCTACGATTCAGAGATTTTCGGCATCCCAGAACTAAATTCCAGATGGAAACAAACTGGGAAGTGTTACAAAACACAAATAGGTTGCATTTGCCAGGGAGCTGCGTCGGGCACTAGAGTTTTCTCCGGGCACCAGAGTCTGTGCTTTTCCCATTCACATGTGGGCTTTCCTCCTTCTCTGTTCTGGATTAAACTACCCTTAATTAATCTAGGAAGGCAGCATGTGATGAATTGTCAATTATTTAGTTACTGGAGGGTAAACTCCTAGAATCTGGATATTATACCTGTACAAGTTTGCCTCTTGCTGCGTGGAATGGGGGTGCGTGTGTACGTGCATCTCAAGAAAAGCATTCAGGACCTCCCTGTATTTGTCTTCCCTGTGATGAAATCTCAGCCTGATTCAGACCCCGTCTGCCCAAACAGCAAGCGAAAATTCAGGGACAGACTCCTGGCTTTATTCGCAGCTGCAACTTGGGTTAAAGTTTCTATCGTGTCTCCCTCTGCCTGCTTTTACTGCATTGCGTCAAAGCCAGCTCCTGGGTTTCCAAATGTAAAACAAGTGTTGCAAGTAGGATCCCCAGAACCCTGAGAGCATCTCAGCTCGCAAACGCGCGCTTCCATCCTCCCTCCAACCAGTTTACCTTAGCAGCAAGGCAGGACTGGGGGTGACAAACTGGGCTGGATGGTCACTGCTTCTCGTCGCTCTCTGCAGCTCATTGCCATGGCTGTGACTCACACATTTCCTGCGGAGTCGTGAAATCTCTCCTCTAGCTGCAATACATTAAAAATAACATAAGGAGTGGGGATCGGACTGAGACACACTGCGAGGAGAAATGTGTTTGCTGTATATCTCTAGATGTGCTGGTTTGAGAGCATCCCGAGCATCCTGGTTGCAAACACTTTGGAGAGCTGCAAGCTGTATTGCTTCCCAGAAGTGAAAGGGATACAAAGGACTGAATGAAGGAGGAGTTTCTCCCCAAAAAATAGATGTGGAAGAAGAAGCAAATTCAGGCATTGTGAAGTTAAAAGGAGCTCAAAGTGCTTGGAGAAAGGCAGGATGGGGCAGTGGTTTTTATATGCCAATCTATTTAACAGTGGTTTGGCTTTAATGGCTGTGATGAGTTCTGATCTGGTGTGTAATACATTTTTTGCTCCATAGGAACAGAACCTCTCTCCCAATTGAAGTGCCATGCTAAGCATTTTCTGATAGGGCACTTAAGTGAATTTCCAAGTACCGTCTCTTAGACTCAATATTCTGCTGTTTGAGCTAAGGGTATCACGTACCAAAAGGAGCAGGTCTCCTGCAGGCCCACCAATAGCTTTTAAAAGCACTGAGCAAACAGCGTGGTCGAGCCTCTGGCCCATGGTACTGCAAGTACCCCCCGCTGCTCACTGCTGCTTTCCCGGAGGTAGAAAATAAAATCTGCTTTGTGAGGATTCATCTGCATAAACACATCTAGAAAAAAATCCGTTAAAAGCAGGAGGGAAATGTAGAAAGTAAGACTTAAAAGAGATGTTGAAGAAATGGAAAATTAATTTACTTGTTTTCTCATTCTCAAGAAACTAGGCGGGGTGTGGAAGTTAAGCATTTGGAAATGATACTGGAACACCCTGAGCAAGAGTTACTGGAATTATTACATATGTATACAAACTCTGTTTCCTGGATAGTTTTACCAAAGCTGCTTTTTCTTTTCCCTGCTGCTTTTCCTGTGAATGGGAAAGAATTGTTCTAAGTGCTTACCTCATCCATCCTCATCTTCTTTATAACTTTCAATACTAAAAATGGAGATGCTGTTGGAACACCTGTAAAATTTGTATAAAAAGACACTTTCTTTCCCTCTAAATGTAGCCACTGAGGAGAAACAGTGCAAATCAACTGATAGCATGAAGTCAGTGTACAAAATTAAGTTATCCCAAAATCCTATGCAAAAACCCACTTAGCTGAATGTGGCTGATGAAGTTTTAGTGCAGCCATGTAATGCCTGTTTTAATGTAGGTTTACTTAAAATAGTTTCATTTACAGCATTACTGTAATACTTGCCATTAGCGCAAGGTTTAATTTTATGCATCAACTTTAGCTAATCAAAGTAGGCTCAGACCACAAGACATAGACACTGCTTTCAGAATTGCCAGGCTTTGCTGCTGTTTGAGCAGTTCTTAGTTTGTTCCTGATCACAGATTATACCTTTCTGTAGCTCACCCTCAAAACTTCAAAAGGTCCTGACAAATTCTCCAGAAGAAAAATGAACCTCTTCATTACACAGTGGATTGATTTATATTAGCACCCTGGAAAGGCAGCTCATTCAAACAGCAGAGAGAACACCCCCAACACTGTCCTTTTCTCTAACACCTTTTTCCTCTTTTTTTTTTAATTATACAGACATTGCACCAAGCCTCAGCCATACCCAGAGTCATTCTTCCCTTTCATCATTGACCTGTCAGCCATTGAACATCTTCCTACCCCTGTTTAACAGCCATGTTTGCATTTTGCTCCTGTACTGGTTTAAATGTCTCCTTTTTTCAAAAGGGAGCTTGTGCCTGGACTGTTGGATGCACACAGTGAAACCCATCACAAAGCTAACAGCACATTCAGACAAGTGTATTTTTACCATTGTAAGATTTCCATGTGAAATTTTACAGCCCCATCAGGAAATTTTGTCTACCTATTAGTGTTCCAAGCCTATCAGGTGGAGATAGGCACCAGTATCCCCTATCCTGTTACACAGGCTTGAAAGATGAGTGGGATACGCCACTTCATGAACCTTTTAAGTGCATTAATGACACATAACACACACAAGGAATCTGTGTAAGCATTTCTGTAACTTTATTGACTAGCTTTATTGCACATACTTATTGAAGCCTCCATTATTTCCCCACCCAAGGTTTCCATAATTATTTTAAATGCAAGTTAAAGGTAACTTTCATTCCTGTGACTTATTTTTTCCCCCATTTTTAATTTTAAGATTCTGAATCACCCAAGAAAGACATAACCCCTGAATTCATACGTGTAGACCATGCGGCATTCAGGGAACAAGCCAGTGGGTGCTCTGCAAGCATACTGATACTCTGCACAGAGAGAAACATCATAAATCATTTAACTTTAAACCTCAGTGGTCACTGAATTAAATATGTGAGACTGCAATTTTAGCTCAGTCAATCGTTGTTTATTCTCTTAACCTGATGAGAAAGCTAGACTGCCTAAAAAAAAAATCAAGCCTTCTTCTTCACTTCACTCTCCTCCTTTCCTGCTGCTTCTTTCTCTTCTTTCTCTTCCTTCTCTTCCTCAGCAGTTTCCTCAGCAGTTTCCTGAGACTCCTCCCCTTCTTCAGCTGCTGTTTCTTCCCCTTCTCCTTCCTCTTCCTCACCCTCTTTGGCTTCTTCAGATTCTTCCTTAGCACCTTTGAAAAAGAAATATTTCACATCTATGTACTGTTCCTAAACCCAATTTAATGGAAGCCAGCACACCTTCCTCCTTCAACCCCAATGCACTTGGGTAGCTGCCAGCTAAACGTGATGGGGCTGGCAACTGATTTTGCATGAAAGCAGGGACATTTATCTAGGACTTCCAAGGGGGAACAACAAAACGGCACAACCAACTTGTCCCAGATTTCAGAGAGAGTGAAACACTTTATAGGTATCTTCAGAATCATGACCTTGAAAAATATTGGCTGTGGGCTCATTGCTTTAAGCCTTCTCCAAATACTTGAGTTTAAAAAGGAATCTTGCCGTTGCTCTCTGATTGGCTCTTTAGCTACCAATTCATTATAATTAATCTTTACACTAATAAACTCCTTGAATAATTCAATGGCAACCAATGCATTTCAGATATGTTTAGCTCTGAAGGATTTAACCTATGCAACTGAAGTTGGGAAAAACAATTCTGGATAACATTCCTTTTACATTTTATTTAAAATGTGAGTTTGGTAAATAAATTACGGGGCAGTAAGGAGTGGCATATACTTAGGTTGAACAAGAAAACTACCCAGACCTCAGGCAATAGATATGGTTATCCACTGAACCCAACAGTTACATCCACAGACATCAGCTGATGTTCCCATTATCACTGGCTACTGTCTGGGAATTGGCATTTAGCTCAGGATGTCCTTGTTGTTTTTGAGGATGTCAGTAAAAACTAAGGACTGTTTGCTGCCATATGAATATAACATTACACACTATTCAAGTATTATTATTCTTGGGTTTGGACCTGAATGGAGAAAACACCCAGTGATTTCCAAGGAAGTATAATCGGTCCTATAATCTGCCTGATATTGAATGTTTACCTTCTCTTCCATTCAATATTCAGGCTTTCCTGCTTAAATGCAGTGTGTTTAATCCCACCATCCTTTGCCCATGTGAGCAGACAATGAGAGCAATCAAATCATTAGACTCAGTCCTCAGGTTTTCTGGATTTTACCCCTTACGAGCAGGGTGAAGCATGAAAGAGGGACTTGAAAGTAACTGTAAGTACCTTCTTCCTCCTCTTCAGCCTCTTCACCTCCTGCTTCCTCCTCACCTTCCTCTTTCTCTTCCTCCTCACCTTCTTCTGCAGGGGCTGCTTTGGCTTCTGCCACTTTAGCAGCCTCAATTGTTTCCTCTATTTCAATCTGCTCCTCCTGGACGTGACTGGAGTAGTACGTGGGGAAGGAACGTGTTGTCATCAAGTAGGAGCTGGATTGGAGACCGCTATAGGCAGACCTGCCAAAAGTCGGGGCAGTCTGGGTGTAGCCACTGGTGATGCTTCCAACGCTGGTGAAACTGAGTCGGGTCTCTTCACCTTCCAGCAGTTTCCTAGAAAAAAAATAAAAATAAAAAAAAAAAAAGCAAGCAGAAATAACTTGGTTATGCTGCAGCAGTATTCAGCATATTCAATTATGGACCAAGGAATTACAATGCTTTGAGCAGCACAAGCCCTAGAGATTGCTTACTCAGGAATGCAAAACCTAGCCCATAATCAGTAACTATATGGCAATGCTACCCTGTCTTCTTGGAATAATTTAAAAGTTTGATGTGTTCATTACTGGTAAATTAGTTCTTTTCCAACTTAGAAGAAATAAAAGGCGAAACTCCTCTAGGATTAGGTGAGGTTAGAGGTGTATTCTGGTAGCCTGTAGGGTTGCAGAGAACAATGCGGGTATAACAGTCTGATGTTATGTTTAGCTATTAGACAAGCTTTACAGCCACCTTCTCAATATTCCCCCTTGTGGCATTCACAAAAAACTCTGTTTCGGCATTTGCCATTTCTAACAGTATCTGGGACAAAACATTAAACAGCTATTCAGCAGCAATTTTTCTGTAAAATATTTGCTTTGTAGGAGATTGCTTCTGTGTTAGAAACAAAGCATGGAAGGAATCTGCAATTTTGAGAACACGGCCATCTGTATTAAGAAATGCCACCGATATAAAATCCCTTCACTGTAAGAAGAAAACAGGCATTTTTAGCTATAAAGACAGGGAACTGAGACCGTATATTGCCGAGCTAATAGTTCCATATGCATATAGGTACACGCCAATCGACTCCTTGAAGATTTCACTTTAAGCAAATATTTTACCTCAAAAGCACTGCTTCTTCCAATAGCAAGACAAGGGAGAAGACCTGATTAAGTCTACCTATGAAAATTTCTGCTGGAGGAATGATAAATAAAATCAATTCTCTTGAAGAGAGAATGGGAACCTGAGCCGAGCTCCGTCTTACTAAAACATTCCCCCCATCATACCGATATGCTGCAATTTCGATGTCCAGGGCCATTTTCACATTGAGCAGATCTTGATATTCCTTCAGGTACCGAGCCATTTCACTCTTTGTGGTTCTCAGCTCGTTCTCTAATTTGTTGATTGTATCCTGTTGGAAGTAACAATATTGACAGCATAAAATTCTGAGTTCTCCCATGTCTAGCAATAATACCTTGCAAGGAATTTCTCCAACCCCATTAACTTAATCTTGCTCTAGCAGACAGAAAACGAACAGCTACAACTGCCCCCTTGGCCAAAAAGGCACAATTTATTAAAGCTCACCCTCCCTGGCAGGGTTTTCCCACCGCTGTATCTACATCTTATTATTATTTAATGTGAAGAGCCCAATCTGCTGCTATCCAAGGACTAAAGCATGCACGAACTTGTTTTGGCTTTAGCCCGTGTGTGCTTTCTCTAGTTTTAGCTTAAGGGCATCTTTTGTAGGATACAGTTAATGCTTTTTGGGTACAGGGATAAAGGACGGATCGCGCATCCTAGCTCTGTGGCATTCTGCATTTCAGTTTGATGACACCTCAGGGTCCAGCTACGCCGCACAGCCGCGGGGTTCCCGCACAGCCGCGGGGTTCGGGGTTGAGCTCGAAGCAATGCCTCCCCCCCCCCCCCGTTCCCAGGACCCCCCCCCCCCCCGAGCCCCCCCGCACCTGCAGGGCGGAGATGTCGGCGCTCTGCTTCTCTTCCAGCTCCTGCAGCTGCTTCTCCAGCGCCTCGTTCATGCCGCGGGTGGCCTCGATCTCCAGCGTCTTGGCCTTGAGCAGCCGGCGGCTCTCGGACACCTCGTCCTTGGCGGCTCGGACGGCGTCCGTGTTCTTGGCAGCGCTCTCGCTGAGGACGGTGAAGCGGCTGCGGAACCACTCCTCGGCGTTCTGCATGTTGCGAGCCGCCAGCTTCTCGTACTGGGCGCGGATGTCGCGCAGGGCGGCGGAGAGGTCGGGCTTGGCCGACACGTCCATCTCCACCGAGAGGTGCGCGTACTGGATCTGCGCCTGCAGCTCCGCCAGCTCCTCCTCGTGCACCTTCTTGAGGAAGGCCAGCTCGTCCAGCAAGCTGTCCACCCGCTTCTCCAGCTCCGCCCGCGCCAGCGCCGCCTCGTCCGCGCCCTTCCGCACCTCCAGCAGCCGCGCCTCCGCGTCCTCCCGGCTCAGCACCTCCTCCTCGTAGCGCGCCTGCAGCCCGCGGAGCGTCTCCTCCAGGCTCTCCCGCTCGCCCTGCAGCGCCTGCTTCTCGCTCGTCGCCTCCTCGGCGGCCAGCCGCAGCTCGCGGATCTCCTGCTCGTAGAGGGCGCGGAAGCGGGAGGGCTCGGCGTGTTTCTGCCGCAGCACCAGCAGCTCGGCCTCCAGCACCTTGTTCTGCTGCTCCAGCTCGTGCACCCGCTCGATGAAGCAGGCGAAGCGGTCGTTGAGGTCCTGCAGCTGCGCCCGCTCCTGGCTGCGGATCGACTTGAGGTCGTTGCTGATGGCCGCGACCTGGCTCAGGTCGAGGGTGTCCACGGAGTGCAGGAGGGAGCCCGAGGCGCTGGAGGCGGCGTAGCTGCGCCGCACCGACACCGAGGAGACGGGCGCCGAGAGGCTGGAGTAAGCCGAGCGCGCCGAGCTGTAGCCGCCGCCGCCGCTGCGCATCGCCGAGACATGGAGCCGCGGGCTCTCGGCGTACCGCCGCTTGTAGGAGGGGAAGAACGGGTCGTAGCCGTACGAGCTCATGGCGGCGAGAAGCGAGGGGGTGAGGCCAGCGGGGGCTCTGCGGACAGGCGCTGCCCGACCGCCCCTATTTATCGGCGGGGAGGGCGGGCAGGCGCAGCCGCCGGGCGGGGCCGGGGCGGGGAGGAGCGCCGCCGCGCTGAGGGACGGTGTGAGCGCCTCGGCTCGCTCCGCGCCTCGCGTAGCTGCCGCGCCTCGCCGCTGGGCGCGTTCGGGGGTGCTGCCCGTTCCCGCGCGCCGTGGGGCTGCCTCAGGCCTGCTCGGGGCCCGCCCCGCCTCAGGCCTAGCCGCGGCTCCCCAGGGTGTGGAGGGCGTCCCTCGTCCCTCCTCCCTCCTCGTCCCCTTCCCCACAGGCTGCCCGGGGGGGGGGTTGTTGCGGCCCCCGTGTTGTGGCCGGGGTCTTTGGGAGGCCCCTCACAACCCCCAGACCGTGTGCATAAATGGCGGGTTTTTTTTTTTCCTTCAATTTGCAGTTTTTACCAGGTGTGTGTGCTCTCTGAGCTCCTGCTGCCCTCACCGTCTCCTTTGTTACAAGTGGTTCCTAATAAGGAGGTAATTACCTGAACAAATAAACAAACACAGGGCATGGATCGAAGTCCTAGCAGAATACATTAATATCTAGTTACCTAGCTTTGCTTTCTTTGTTCCTTAAGATCTCTGGAGGCGAATCTGAGACTTGGACCATAGGGGCTGAACATTTATCCTTGCCTAATCTGGCTAATAGACTAGAATTTGATGGCTGCATTGCAGCTAACTCTGATGCAGATTGCTAGCCACCGGTTGATTAAAACAAAACAGTATTTATGTAGTAGAGATTTATCAGAAGTAAGCCAGGAATATATTGAGTGCAGACTTCACTAGTTGCTCAAAAAGGCAATGATAACTTGTCCGAGTCAGAAGGGCAAATATAAAACAAACTCTTCAAAGTTTTCTTGAGGAAGGAGTAAATGTAGGTGTGGGTTGGGGGACGTTTATTAAGAGAGAGATACCACAAAAATGCTTAGTTGCTTCCTAAAGAAAGGGGAAAGACTTAGTAATATACTTAAATTAATCTGTGTGTCTGTCACTAATTGCGACAGTAGTTAAGTATTTCTGGCAGAAAGGTATGATTCTTTCATTCCAGTCATCTACTAAAGGTAGAGCAGGGTTGATTTAATCATATTTCCTACTGTCTTTTAGTGACCTCGGACAGAACATTACCTGTTGTGTGGCGTAATTTCCATAGGTTTCAGGGTACTTGAGTTGGAGGGATATTAAGCTGTGAAGGGCAATGGCCTATCAGAGGGACAAAACTACAGTCTCATTTCATCTGAGCTCATGCTAGATGGAATGAACTGTACTAAGAGCCGGTAAAGCCTTGTGCATCACTACATCACGGTAGAGCTGATGAGAGATTTTATTTTGCAAATCTGAAGTGTAACCATGAAGATCAATGGAATTGCTCTTGATTTACAAGCACTGCAAGTGAGGCTTCTACTCAAAATTTTATTAAAAATTTGTGATTTAAATTCCGGTACCAGTTGCATTCATGCATGTTACAACAGCTGTTCATTATTCAGACATTGAATATGCAAAGTACAGCAGCACAGGTATAGTTTTATGTGCTGATACATTTTAGCTTTAGTAGAGATTGGTTTTGGGTTTTGCCCAAAAGAGGTAATTTGTGTAGCTTGCAGAGCACCCAGGGAAGAAATGAGCAATATAGACATTATAGCAGATGGAAAGATTCACAGCGGGTTGGGCAGAGATTGGGTGAGCTTTTAAATGCAGATTGTTCTGGGATACTCAACTAATGCAAACTGTCATACCTTGTTTCATCCCAATGGATTTATGCTAATCTCCCCCACATTCAATTTGATCATAAGATTTAATTATTAATGGTTTAATTTATTATGCTATGTATTAATAAATTAATATACCTCAACTTCTAAAAATAACCACACTTCATATCCCAGGAAAATAAGCTTTGTAATTGTAGGCTGTTAATATTCTTTTTCATATTTTTTTAGAGAGGGAAAATGAGTGGAAAACCCCTTCCTCTCTGCCAGCAGTGTGTGCCAGGAAGATGGGAAAGTGTGTCTGCAGACAGCCCTGCAGTGTTGAGTTTCAGTGTGACTCAGAGGCAAGGATGAAGCTTTGCTACTGTAAGGAAAAGCAAGCTACTACAGAAGGCATCCTACTTTGGAAACTTGTATTTCCAGGTACAGGGTAGTGCTGACTCTGATTTCCCCATTCTCTGTCTCCCTTCTGTTGCTTTTTGCCATAATGCAGAGTATGATCTAGTCCTTTCATATATTATTGTTAGAAAAATCATTGAAGTAGTAGTGAGCAGGGGAACAGGATAAAGGCTGGCTTCCAACTTGAATGAAATGGTCTGTGCTGTTTGTCTCATCTTTCTTTGAGACCACATTGAAAAAAGCAGGCAGGCACTAGAGATGAGCTGAGTCACCCAGCAGCTTAGCATTGTCCCCTGCCATCCACTGAAGCTGAAGCTGCTCTCTTGCTGTTTTAGTTAGGTGTGTCATGATTTCATCTAACATAAACTTTAGATAGAAGAATCCCAAGTCCAGGTTCACCTCTTGAAAACCTCCCCTAGGCTGGTTGACCTAAGTAATGCAAATTATGAGGATGAATGATAACAGAAATAACAGTAGTGATGTGATAAAATGGCAGCTGTGCGGTCACATGCTACTGCTGCACAGCCAGAAGCGGGCAACTTCATGACCATACATTCCTGTTTGTACTTTTTCCTCTGCTCCATACTATGTAATCAACACGTACTCCATCTATGAATGGCATTTCCTCAAGGAAGAGTTTAGTCTTGAGCCCTGTGCTGGGGCCTCATTGAGCACTAAGACATTTCTTGAATGCAACCAGAGTTGGTGAAAATTCCTCTATGCTGCAAAACACTTGGGCATTGAAGTCTAGTGGGGTTTGCCTTTTTTTTTTTTTTTTTTTTTTTTAATCAAAGAATAGTTTCCCCTGCAGAAAGAGTAACAGGTATGTTTGGGGTTGAAGTGGACAGCAGGGTGAAGCCTGCATTGTCTGCTCCCAGTCTTATTTCAGAAGCATAAAAAGAGCTGTGCCTGCTTAGTTTGAACTTGAACAGAAATTGAGCAGTCTTAAGTCAGAAAATCAAAAGCATTTTTTATACTTTATTATTGTTTCTATTCCATAAAGGCACAGCTTTGAGAGAGTGGGACATCGGGCACTCCTACTATTGAAAATGTGACATAGGTCTGATGTGTTGTGAAGCACAATTTTTTTTTTCCATATATAAAATGCAATGGTAAGAACTGATCTGTGCATGGTACCTATACTCAGAAAACATGCAGCTGAGAGAAATTATACATAGTAAAGTGTGAATAAGCAATTTCCTTTCCCAGTGTTCTGTAACTGTTAATAAATTTACAACAAATTCAGAAATCAACATATTGGCATTCAGTGGCACCATGCTTTATGGATTTATTGATTGATTTTTATTGATAGGATTGATGAGAGCAGTTCTGAAGGAGAAAGGGGAGAGCTGGAACAGGTCCACTGTAGCAGTCAGCACTTTGTGCCAGTATTTAGTGCTATGGGAATGCAGTAAAGCATGCTTACAGCCGAGCTGTCCCTATAGGGCCTTTTATTGATCTTACCACAGAGAGGTGTGTTGCAAAAACTGAAGAAGGGGATTCTCATTGAAGCCCCTGGGAACTACAACTGAGAAAAGTCTGGTTAAGGATTTTGAAGTTTCCCTACAATGTTTTCTGTGTTCATAGCTACTTCTTTCTTTAAAACTTCTAGGAGGGAGGGAAATTGAAGAATTTTTTATGAGGGGTTGTTCTTATGTGGGCTAGAATTTCTACATCTGTCTGGGCTGGTTTTAAGTTTTACCCTTATGCTGAACACACCTGAAAATGGCTGTTGTATGTCATTAATATTCCACCTATCAGGGGAATATTTTGAAAGTCACAATCAGGAGTAATGGATCACCTTCTCTGTCCCTTGTCCTGAAGTTAGGAACCCAGATATTATGTATATGTCTAAAATATATCAGTTATGTATATGTCTAAAATTATATAAAAATCTCTGAATGAGTTCAATGGAAATGTTCAAATGAAAATGATCTGTTCTACTTTGATTCTCAGTCCTGCTGCATTATTTTTTTTTAATGAATTGGAATGAATCTTACACTTTAGGAAGTCTGCTTCCTATATTCTAAACAGACATTTTAATATGAGACAACACTAACATGAATTGTTAAAGCCCATGCAGAATTTTGTCTGCAAGGACTGAAATACAGTATCAGTAAGACACAGAAGAAATGCTAATATGTATTTAATTCGTTTCTTTTGAACAGCTATTTGCTTTGTTTGTGCCATATATAGTAAGTGCCTGGGCAGCTTTCGTTATTTTATTATCACTTACACCAATTCTGTTTTGCTGTGCCCAGTAACATTAATTTCCTCACTTAAAGTTTGTTCTGTCTCTTGATTACAAAGCTAGAGGAAACAGCCAGCCACTTCTTTCATCTGAGCTGTATCAATGAATGCTTAATTAGAAGATTCATTAGCTTTGTTTACTCTTTGGATCAGGACTCCAAAGTAGGCCACAAAATCTGATGGCAGATTCCTCCTTGCAGTTCCAAGAGTTAGTTCTTAATTCAATAGATGTTCTGCTTTTGTTTGATTCCAATTAAACATAAACAAAAAGGTTCTTGGACAAACAGAACTCCCCTACCTTGCCAGCTGTGGAGCAATGTGCATGGTTTGAAAAAGCCCACTCAGCCCATTTTGAAAGAGATCATTGACCCATTTGCAAAGGTTCATTGTTTAGAATGGGTCTTCCACCAACGTGGAAAGAAGACACTAGACTCAAGAGACCGAGGGCCCCGTCAGAAGCTTGTTGTAGGTTGGCACTGGGCTGCAGGATTCACTGAAGTCCTGCTCCTGAAGGCTACCTGAAGATCTGAGCTTCATCTTTTCCTTTTGTGTTCTTATGAGTGATCTTGCCCATCTTAAAGCTGTCACCTGAAAAGTGGTATTTTATGATGCCGTAAAATACAAAAGAATAATTGTGAC